ATCATTCACTTTTTTGCATCACTTCCTGTCACAACCGGAAGTAACGGCGACACACGATTTTCATACGATGCAAATAAACTGATGACGGACTGTCAGTCCTGAAAGTTTCAGACTTCAGTCGTTCATTGTTGCCGAGCAATTTTGAGAACAAATTCTAATTTTGAGGACAGGAAAACACGCAACCGGAAGTGAATTTTATAAAAAATCTCTAACGTGTCTCTAGACATTTGCAGTATCTACAACATGTATTAAAACATTTCAATTCTTTTTCTTTAAGCGATATTTATGAGAAAGTTAAATATCGAAATTATGTATTTTATCTCCTAAAACCGGAAGTTGACGTTTTTGTTTCCGGAGAAGTCTAACATATTTCAAAACAGCAAAAGAGATGCAATAAGGTGATGCAAGTTTTAATTTAAACAAGAAAAGTTGAATTTTTTGATTTCTTTGATCACTTCCTGTGACGACCAGAAGTGACGGCTGACAGTTTAAACCAAATAATTTTGCCTACTCTTCAAGGTCTATTACTCATATAAGTTTGTTGTCTTAATCTCATACCGTTTCTGAGATCTCGCTCAGATATTTTCTCACTTTGAGGACAGAAAAAAACACGCGACCGGAAGTGAATTTTGCAAAGATATTTGACGTTACTCTAGACATTGCAATCTGAATAACATATCTAAAAATCATTTCAAATACTTTACGTATAAAAGATATTTATGGGAAAGAAAAATACTCAAATTATGTAGTTTTTCTCTTATAACCGGAAGTTGTCGTTTTTGTTTCCGGTGGGACCAACATATTTCAAAACCGCGAAAGAGATGCAATAATGTGATGCAAGATTTGATTAAAAAAAGAAAAGTTGAAATTTTCGATTTCTTTGAACACTTCCGGTGACGACCGGAAGTACTGACGACGAAAATCAAGGTAATTTCGAACATCTGGAAGTCATGGTCTATCATCTCTAATAAGTCTCCAGTTCATATCTTTAGCCGTTTCTTAGATCCTTCGAGGACAAAATTTCATTTTAAAATCAGGAAATTGTCCATAACTTGGCACTGGAACCGAATTTACCAAAAAACGGAATTTTATATAAACTTCATATAAAGACCTTTTATCCCTGAAAATTTCAAAGAAATTCATTGAATAGTTTTCGAGAAATCGCGTGCACAAAATTTTGTCTAAAAAAAAAAGAATAATAATAAGAAACAATAGAATCACTATAAGGTCTTCCGTGGAGACGGAAGACCTTAATAATAATAAGAAACAGTAGAATCACTATAAGGTCTTCCGTGAAGACGGAAGACCTTAATAATAAGAAACAGAGTAAAAACAATATGTTCCCAAACTTCGTTTGGGGAACATAACTAGAAAACTGTCAGGAACTCTTCCGATCAACATGCATTTACTCACTTAATTGTGACAAAATTATTAAGGTAAGCCAGATGAGTATGAAAGAAACAATTTATATATTAAATAATTATGAAGACTTCTCGCTTTTTTTTTGATTCTGCAGTATGGCATATTAATAGATAGTTTTCGTATGACGTATTTTCCCTTCGAGTTATTTCTCTTGGCCGCCATCTAGTGAATTTTCCCCTGAAATATAAGGGCAAAAATCTTTTTAAAATAAACAAAATTATGAATTAAAAGAAGCTTTTTAAACATACATGTATGTTCGTAAAAAGAAAAACTGTGTTATCTTCACCTCATTGCCCAGTATTACAAGTTCAAAATGGTTGAGTAATGAAGGAATATGGGTTTGTTGACCTCCAATCTGGTGACCAACAGGAAATAACTCTTGCTAAAATTGTCTATCCAAAACTATCAATATGTTCAAAATTCACAAAATATTTATATTTTTGGGTCATTAATTTAACTCTTTTAAGTCTTGTTTTTAAATGGACTTCAGAATCTGATTCCAAAAATTAAGGTAGTAAACAATAGATAGGCCAAATTTTTTCTCAAATTCAATTTTTTGGAAACTTTAAAATTTTGTTCTAGGATGCAAAATCTCTTTATATGTAATTTGAAAGACATTCAACCACACAATGTTTGCCTGCTTAACTTGAAATATGGCCTATCAGCCCCCTGTAAGAAGATTGTGAAATCAGACATTGCACTTTAGAATATGCATTTTTTAAAAATTACCAATCAATCTATTGCAAATTTGAGTGATGCTTTTTATAAATACAACCTTTCTGTAACTAAATTTCAGTAAATTATATTGATAATAGTATATTTGAGTAAAATATGATCAAAAAATAGAACATACATAGCCCAGGAATTTAAAATTCACAGGTAAGTATGCTACACTTTAAGTTCTCTAAAGAGAAAATGTATGATTCAAATTTTACAAAAAATCAACATAATGATTGAAATAGAATCCAGATTAAAACGTGTCAAAATGAGGAACACTGAACCGACAATTTAAGATATTTTGACAATTTAAAAAAATATTCAATGCAAAAAATTAAAAGAATCAGTAGATGATGTCACAATATTTTACCCTTGACCTGTAAATATGACCTTGACCTTTATTGTGTATAAAGAATGGAAACTCCTTATAAATATGTCCAAATATCAGATTTCTTCTAAAAATGGATCAAAAGTTACTTTGCACTTAATAACAGACTGTCATATTGCATGTAGATGGCATAAACATTCTAAAATGTAACCTCTCCAATGACCAATATATAGGATTCTCTAATTTGTTACAAAATCAGAAAAAAAAACATGTCACAAATTACAAATTTTCTTACAAAAATAATTTATTATTGACATTATAGTTATATTATTCTTTTTTCCTAGTGTACTTATAAAAAATGAGTTAAAACAGATTTCATGGGTGTTTTGTACTACCTTAAATTATCATACATTAATGAGAATTTTGTTATTTAAGCTATGTAAGTTAAAAACATCCAAAGGAACAATTTCTTTCTGAAAGAAAATTCTCTAAAGAAACTAGGTCTAAAAGGTAGATATCTTGGAACTTTCCATAACAGAAAAATAAGTTGGGGTTTAATGTAATAATTTCACAAAATTATGCTTTGTAATAAGGATACTTCTTTTGGTTCTCTTTTTGTACATGATTCTGTAGCCACACTCTCTGCATCTGATAGGATCTCTAGCTTTGATCTCATTTTCTTGGTGACACTCTGTAAATTGAGAAAATCAATTCTTTACGCAAAAAACAACATAATGCACTCATCTGGAAAAATTACTTCTGACACATTATTAAACTTGACAATGCTAAGAAAACTTGAGTATACATGAAATAAAAATATGTCTTAACACATTTTTCAAAAATAAACAATAGCTGTATTTATACCATAGCCAAACCACCTGGAAATCAAACCCTTTTTAGACTGTATTAGCATTACCTCCACATATATAAATCATAGTCTGTTGTTTCCTTGCATCTGATGATTCTCTGGAATCCTTTGTTTGCTCCATGACCCTAAAAAAAATTAATATATTTGTTTTCAACTAAGAATTTAACTTTTCTGTTTCAATAACTACATATAATAAATTCATTATATATATATATATATATTTGCTACATTTATTTCTCTGTTTCAAGAACTATTTGTCATAAATTCATTTCATATTTTTGCTACATTTCTTTCCTCAACATCTCTATATCAAGCAAAATTATCCTATTGCAAGTTTGAAACAAATTAAAGCACCACATGCAACTGCGTAAGTTCAAATGGATAACTACACCTCCCTACTTAGTGCACATGGTCATTAATAATTCTTTTTCATTCAGAACCTAGAATAGTGCACCTTAATTTATTCATATTTTGCAAAAATTATGAATAGTAATATAAAATTCAAGATTGCTAGTATAAAAAGTAAACTGAAGATCATACACAAAAATATCAAGAAAGCTAGATGATGGAGTCAATGTGACATGAATGTGAAAATAACATTAGATATAATTCAGTTGGGAGACAAATATCATAAATGCTGCTTTTATTTCTGGAATTGATTATCTATGCATGTTCTAGGACCTATTTATGACTTTTATGCTGCATAAATGTTTTAAATACACCATAAGTAAAATATCTACACTGGGAATCTATTTAATTAAGTTACCCTTAAGATAAGTATTAAGACCAGAGTTAAACTAAAACCATATATTGAACAGTATTATAGCTAATCCAAGATTCCTCTGACTCTAACCCCTGCTTTTATATTTTGACATGTGCAGGGGAGATGCACATGTCAAAATATAAAAGCAGGGGTTAGAGTCAGAGGAATCTCGGATTATATTATAGCATGTAGGGTGACAAAAAAAGAAAGATCACAGTGGGGAGTAATATCAATTCTGTCTGTTCCAGAATTTCAGAGGAGAAATATCAATTCGCAATTACATAAAACTACAACCTACTATCAAATATAAACATGATATTTCATATTTAAGAGAGATAATACTTATTATTAATTCTTGGTTGACAAACACTATATTATAGGGCACAGGAAATGAATTTGCAGTTTTGCAATAGGCATATCACAGTGAATCGTCTTAAAGTTAAAACATGATAGTTTAATTAGTACAAAGGTTCCTATCGTAATTTTCAGTGGAAAAATTACGCTGCAACATGATGATATTTAATTTTTATTTTTTTTTTTTTGAAGTCCTGAGTTGACTTGAAATTTCTTGCTCTGGGGCAATACACCTGTGAAACAACATGTTTAGCTTAGACAATACACCTAGTGAAGAATCTCTAATTTTACCTTTCTATAAAATCAATATCTTGTTATCAGATTTAGGGCATAAATGTTTTAATCTTCTCCAGTTGAAACCTGAAAAGCCATGTGAATATACACAGGAAGTGACGTTAAAATTACTTGTTGTAAACATTCGAGACTTCCGTTTACCGCTTTTTAGTTTAATACTAGGAAAAGTCAAGAGAAGTTCCGGCAATGTTTTGATTGGTCAACGTGATTTTGGCGAATCATTTGAAAGTAGACTTTGTGTACACTACCAACTGTTAAAGTTGAAGGAGAACAACTCGCCGATTTTAGTGCAAAAAAGAAATATATTGAAAAAACAAAGGTAAATACCAAGAAGAAGGACACAGTCTTGAAATGCACAACTGATCAGAGGCAACGGTAAGAGTTTCATTCATAAACAATGTTTATTTTAACAAGGAAGGCTTCCCGCCTGACCAAAGGGGATGGCATAAATTGATTTTTATTCTTTTCACAGTTTTTGTCCGATCATTCTACATTAAACATATTAGTATGTTGAATTATTGCCTAGAATATTATTTTCTTTCTTAATATGTATAAATATACGACAAGGTAAATTTTTATAATGATTAGATCATACATCACAGCCCCTATGAATGGATGCGCGCCTTCCTGATATTGTGACGCGTGACATAACACATGGTGTGCGAAAGAGAAGCATATAATTTTCTAAGAAAAATTTTTCCTAATTCTGTGCAAAATTGAAATTATTATTAAACTGATTTTTATTATCTTAACCACTGATAGTCACACAGGAAGTTAACAAAATTCATTTTCAATATTGAAAATTGTTTATATTTTTTTTTACATGGTAAACTTTAAATAACTTTGATAAAATTGTTAAGCTTTAGCATCTTTGAAATACAATGAAATTAGGTTTACTGAACTGAAATTCACAGAACTAACTGGGATTGGGGAATCCTCTTTTAAAGAAATTGAGAAAATCAGACAGCTGGGTTCTTTTTTTTTTTTAATCACAAGTAAAGGTGAGATGCAGAGCAGAGCCCTGATACTGATAGTGACCAGGGGATATCTTTTCTCCCCAAATTCTGCAATTTCCTTCAACAATAACTCAGTTTTCTTATATTGATTAATTTGCTTCCTAAAAAACAAACAATAATAAAATATAAAAGTTGCCCTTTTAAGGATGTATGGATATTAATTACTCAGTATAAATATTCAAGTAGAAATTTTCTTTCAGGGATAAATGCTGAGAACAGGTATTAAACATTGCCTAAAATAGTCCAATTTTGAGGAAAATAAATATATTTGAAATTTTCATTACAAGTGAATGCGTGTCCTTATTTTTAACCAAAATATTGTACTAAATAGTACTGAATATACATGAATATCTTTAAATTTTTTAGAATTATTATCAAACTGATATGATGATATTGTTTTTGTTTCTTAAAAAAAAAAAATAACTTAAAAAAAAATCATATCCACAGAGAAAAATTATGACTAATTTGAGATGGAACATTTTGGAGAAGTCATCAATGGGAAACAAATAAAATTTTAAAAAATTAGCTCTTTGAAGTATCTCAGGCAATTTGGTGAGCATAGTTCATTTTTTGTATAAAAAAGCTTATTAGCATTAAATTTTCATGCTGAGAGAAAACCAAAAACAATCAACAATTAAAATAAACATTAATCAGAGACAGTTGCAAGATTTGAAGAATATATCTTAAATTAATTTACCTAAAAAAAAAAAACTTCAAAATTTGAAGCTATAACTGTATGATCATTTAATTAACATATATCAAAGTAATTTGGATTTATAACAGTTAAATTCACAAGCTGTAAAATGCACCGTAAAAAATATCCCCACTGATTGTGTGAAACCATTGTGATTGGGCCCAGCTGATAGGATAAGGTGTGACAGGGAATGGCAGTTTTGACTCCAAGCTGATCTCTTTGATCTTAAGAAAACACTTCATTAGAAGTCATTTAATTCATCTATAATGCAGTAATTCTTGCTTCTAAACAGTCAGTTTATGGCCTGGGGGTACCCTCTTTGATTCTGATAGTGTAATTAAACAATTATCTCATAAAATTTAACAATCTTGAAAATATGCCCCATGGTTATGAATTTTGTATGTTTAAAAAAAATTATACAACTAATTCCAGATTTAATAAGATTTTGTTAGGTGTCTGCCCCACAATAAGTGTAAGTTTATTTGAACATACTAATAATCATGAATCAAGTTTGCATTCTAATCATTTATTTACTACATTTTTGTGAAGTTTTCTATAACATGCATAAATGCCAAAGAGTAAGCATATACAATTTACTTGATACATGTAAAGTTATGTTACTTCTTTTGATTCTGATTGATATCATTTAAATTATTGGAAAACTAAAAAAATAAATGATTTTGCAGATGGATGATACAGTGCAGCAGAAACTAGAGAATTTCCCTGATTTTGGAGGTTTCCAGGAGAAAGGAAGGGCTTTCAGCACCAGTACCCCACTAGTCCATAATAAACTTAGTGACTCCCTCCCTCCACGATCCCTTTCCACTAGTGCCTGGTCTCCCAATGACAGTGGATATGCCGACTCTATATCTAGTGATGACACTTGCCAAGTAACTCCCAATGCAAGCAAGGAAAGTTTTACTCAATTCCGATTAACCAATTTGGATCTTAGTCCAAGTCCACCACAGATTTCTCAGAAACATAGTACGCTACAAACAGATAAATTTGTGCCAAGGTTTTCCTTGGGTTTTCATACTCTGGACTATGAAATTCCAGAAGAGGAACTGGTGTTTGAGAAATTCTCTCCGAACAAGAGTCCAATTCCGCACTACAGTTTGGAGGATGAGGATATGTGTTCAGAAGAAACAGAAGCAAGTGCTGCAGCTTCCCAGGCATTAGACTCTGAGTTAACAAAGACATTTGATGCTGTGCTGCAGCAGTGTATGCCAAAGGTGCCGGATAGGATAATTGGGAGAAAGATGGGGCTGGAGCGGATGGATGTGGTTAGTGAGCTGAATGACCGAGGGATGGTGGTCATCCTGGAGAAAATCGCTAGCTATCTTCAGGCCTCAGATATACGCAGGTTTGTAGTGTTTCAAATTTTGTACATTAGCACTTTAAAATAAGAGCAAGACACCTATGGTATCTAATCACTTTGTCTGTCTGTATGAATGTTTGAATATATATATCTATTAAGTGATACTTTAGTTATGACTTCATAAGTCAAATAGGTTTCAAATTTTACACAGAAGAACTTAAATTTATATGAGAAAGTAAAGGCTTTTATTAAAAGACTTTGTCTGTCTAGCCCTTAGTGAAGCCCTCCTTGACTGTGTCAGTTTTCTAGTTTGAAATGGGGAGACTGGGATCTTCCACTGCCCCATGTAGGGCTGAATACAGGCCCCATTCCCAATTGGAAAAACCCTCCCCTTTTCCCAAAAATGAACTGCAGACATTCAATTTCTGAATGCACAAAAACTCAACAAAGTTAACAAACATGGCCAGGTTTGGAAATCTGAATGAAATGACCAAAATTTTAAGAAACTTGGCTAAAACTTTATTATAATTGATCTATTTTCTGATTTATAGTTCTGAATAGTTAAATAAAAGATAAATTTTAATCATCATAAGTGTTTATTTCTTGAAAAACATCATGAAATAAAATTTCCCAATAAGGGATAAAATGTTGGTTAATTCACAATTCCAAGGGCCTAGATCCCATTTCCAAAATGGAGTGGAAAATCTCTGTCGGAGAAGACAAGTGTTAAATTCAACCAAAAATACTATGTATTGTATAATACTAGGATATCTCGTAAACCTCTACTTTATCAAAGCTTATTTTCAGCACATTAAATTTAAAAAAAAAATTTCTGAAATTCTTTAATATCTTGGAAGAAAGTCTTAATTATAAATGTAATTTTGAGTTCAATTAAATTCTAATAACTCTCTCCAAAAGTTTACAAGATCTTAGATGTACCAAGCCATTATACTGGAAAGTGCAAATTTTCTATCTTATGTCAAGTAAGTCCCTCTTTATTTACGTATGTGTAGAAGAATTGGAACTATTGAAATCAGCTACTGATGTGGATAAATTTATGTAGTGGCGATTTTAATGTTAATCCTCTGTTTGTGTAAAAATCACATATTTCTCCCAAATATTTGCTGGACTTATTGACTTAATACCTGTACAATTGAATACCTGTCATTGTGACAGGGAGTAGTGTGTGTTGATTACTGGCTTGGGATTCTGTTGTGCTTGACCAGGCCTGAGAGGATTATCCCCTAGCTAGACCCTGATGTTTGGACTGATACTGGTCATTCATGACCTCACACACATACGTACAAGACCAATGACACTGGACAAAGCCATTATTACATTACATGATTTGTAGTTCTGCTAATCCCATCCTCAACACACTTAACTGTAAATATACATCCCCAGGGTGTGAAACAAACACCCAAGCTCACTGGACCCTGGTCACCTAATGGTCTAACAGTAAACCTGTGCCCTACAGTGTTCACACAGTGGTTCTAGATGTTGTGTTTTACCTGGCATTGATGACCCTGTCAATGCCAAATCAATATAAAGTTGCTGCCACACTCCTATTGATGAGGTTACTCCTAATGATCCAATCATATCATCATGTCAAGTTTGGTATAAAACTGTTCCACAAGCCAATATGTCCTCACTCAGTTTTTGGGCTTCAAATAAGAAACAATCAACTCCTGCAGATCTACAGATTATTTTCTAAGGACAGTATTTTTTTCTATAACTATTTCAGAATGTGTAGGGTCAGTAAGAAATGGACTTCTATATGCAGTAGATGGACCATCCAAAAGCAACGAAGACCAAGGTCATTGAAACGCTTAGACAAGGTATTTATTCTACACGAATGTTGACATAAACTGATAAAAATATACTTTCCAAACTCTTTTAGTCATGTAAATTGACCAAAATTACTGACTGACTTGTTTTATTTCATAGGAAAATGTGAGGCACAAGGTCCCTCAAGAACTGGATACTGTCCGAAAATGTCTCACTGTAGGGGAACAAACCACATTATGTACCATCCAGGCCATTCAAGAGAGAGTACCCCCACTCTCCTCCATTGGCACACAAAAGGACTTGTTTGTACAGGTAAATAACATTCATGATTTCAATAATTCTGAAATTCAGCAGCTAACCTTAAATTCACTTAACTTCTTTATCAATTATCCTTATACTTTAGACACCTGTATACATTCTGCTTTACAAAATCAATAATTGTAAACTAATATTTACTATTTCAGACAGCACAGTCACTGAAGAATGAGGAAAAAATGACGAAATGTCCTATGTGCCAGCAGGCAGCTATAGTGTACCCTGTCCAGGAGAGGGGAATGTGCCAATCAGACAAGTGTCAGTTTGACTACTGTGTTAAGTGCTTCCATCCATTCCATCAAAGTAAGCCTTGTGAATCGCTGACAGTTCCCAAACGTTCCAAAGATTCAAAAATTGGAGGGAAACATGGAAAGAAGTTTCTGAGGCGGTTATAGCACAAGTATTAACGTGGACTGTTCTGATGGAGATTCATCCCCTCCTGAGTCAGCACCATCCAGTGGTGGTCATCACCATAAGGCAGCTATCCACCGAGAAGTACAACAGAACAGAGTGGACCATACAAACCCAACACAGTACAGGGGTCAGACACAGCTCAGCTGAAGCATATAAAATACTGCTGATATCAGCTAGCTGTATAAAGGGTCCACATTCATTTGGTCCCACTACCTCACCAAGCAAGACAATATGAGGCACTACCCAATGTGTTTAATACTTTCATGTTTTTCCTTCTGCCAAATGTGTTCACTTTATGCTCAGGATAAGAGCATCTTTTATTGAGTGTTTGTAGCATGCATTTATTTTTTAATATATTGTTTTTTTTTCTTTGATATTTTAAATAATTTTTTTTTTTACTGAACTTTTTTTTTATATTTTACTGGTGTAACATAAAACCACCACAATTCCACTAGAATGAAGATGAATTTTATACTGCACAATATTTTAACTTCGTTGTTGAATTTTATATACAAAGCACTGAAAAACTTAACAAAACAAGAAATATTGCCTTCACGAACAATTACAAATACCTAGCAGTTCTCGAAAACTATTTCACAATGCATCTTTGGTACTTAGTTGTGATGCATGTAAAACATCAAACTAGTTTGTGGTATGATACAAATTAGCTTTACATTATTACATAGAATATTGCTTTATACAGATTTATTATGTATGGTTGATCATATGTTCAAAGATTATATTTTGAATAAAATTTATTTCTTTAAATTTAAACCTGTTTATTTTCTATTTTTTTTTCAAATGTTGCATTGTTTACCCTGCTGGAGAAAACTGCATCTAAAGATGAGGTTCAAAATGCAATATTTTTAACGACCCTGTCTGGCAGTCTGTTTTGAAGTATGTCAAGATATTGACTTATTTAGGGCTACCCCCAAACAAAACTCTTTTCATCTCCCTAATATTTTGTACCAAGAATCAGGACCACTTCAGACTCAGCATGAATTAAAATTTAAAGTGAAAAAAAAAATAAACACAAGCCTTCAAAACTTCTTCATGACTTTGATGCTGCAATCCTATCCAAATCCTGGTCATGTGACACAGGAAAACTTTGGAAAGGGCTTCTCTGCAGAAATTCAACATGAAAGGTTTTTTCCTTTGGGATAATTTATTTTGGTTTCCGCACATTCAAGAACACGTACCACATATTAGCAGTTTTCATTCCCACTTTCACAGTACAATGAATCATTTACACCTACCATAGGTGATAAGGTCTTACAATGAATGTATTGGACTCCATGACAGGATTCCAAATCCTGCAAGTGCAAATATTCATTTCCACCTCTACATATGCATTTAAGTGGGATATCGGAGTACAGTCTGTATTTCTTTGAACATAACAGCTGCCATATCCTAGAGCCCTGTACTCTCTACTTTCCACAAGTAAAAAGCAGCACAAATTGTCTTAGTTTTCTTGAAACAAAAGTCCATGTCCACCATTTCATTATGTTGTGACTCAATACTACAGATATGTGCACAAAGTTTAAGGACTGTCATTCATTTATCCATATATTATTTGATCCACTTTATGGAGTAAAGTGAATGGAACACTCATCCTGAGAGAGTGAGATTGGTTGGTAATATAGTGTATATCAGCTGATTCCCGTCCATTGTAGGGATGTGTATGTAATGGTGTCATCTTGGCCCTCTGAGCACATTAAAACAGTCTTCCTAACATTAGATCCTAATCTCCCCATACATACAAGATCTAGGGCAGACATTTTTTTATCATGTGGAATGCAGATGGCAATGTAATGAGAATGGAATCTGGAAGGATCGCCTGAAATTAAAGGAACAACATTATCAGGTGGGCCAGGAAATATTTAAAACTCGAGGCTGAAAGAGTCAAATAGTTTCCAGATGATAAGCCTTGTGAAAACTGAATGGGAGAAAAAAAATCTTTTTATAATCAAAAATTAATATTCTTCCCCAGAATTACTTTTTAAAAATGCAGAGGTATTCAAATATTTTACCTTTCATTTAAACAGCTCACACTTACCAGGATAAACAAGAAAGTCACCACCAAATTTGCTCCCATTAGACAGGAAATAGCCTTGGTTCCATAAGTCTCGATAAACGTGATATCTCAGGTAATCTTGCTCAGTTTTGGGATATGACCAAACTGCTGGCACTTCCTCATCTCTATATGGAGACTCTAGCAAAAAAAATGTATGATTTAATTTTCTGACACTTGACAAGAATGCCTGAAAGTTGTGGATGTTTCTGTTAGTTATACATGAAGAATGTACCTTGATATTGTGTGTAGTTACATGTACTTCCTAAACAAGTCTAAAATTGGTGAATGCTTCAATAAGTAAATTACTAAAACAGGGTGGACTGGGAATCAAACCTAGAACCCTTGCATTTCTAGTCAGTTTCTCTAACCAACAAGTCACACTGGTGGACACCTAATAAGTCTGAACAACCCAAACCACTACATATACATTGTACATGTATCTTAGACTAAGGGGAAATCATGTATCTGAACCATAAGCATTTCACCAAAATTAATGAAGATAAATGAAAACCTGACCTAATGGTACTAATACATAAGTACCTCTCATGGTATACATACTGACAAAAGCCTCTATTATAAAAGAGCACTATCTTCTCAAATATTCCTACATACAGGAACATACCTGTAAATAACTGAACTAGGCTGAATTTCTTTGGTATTGGTGGGATGGGAACTTTGTCTACATCTATACTGAAGTCTTCCTCCACCCTCACTTCCTCTGTGACCTCCCCACAGTTCTTCTTCTCCCCCAGCTCCATCTGTGCCTTCTTCCTCTTCCCCTCAATGATGTTCCCCATGTTTTGGTATATTTCCCTCTTCCTCTCTTCTCGAAACATTTTTACCTGTCAACACAGACATGTATAATATACAGGTTAAAGGCTATGTCAAAAAATAGTAGAACAGATTGGCACATCTTTATAAGACATTCTTCATAAATTGATTTTAAAGCATTTATATCAAGATTCTTTGGTTTTTATGATGCAACTGAAAAATCAGATTACACTGAGTGTTACTTCAATCAGCCTTAATATAAAAAAGACACCTGATTTTGGTAGCTCTGCTCTCTGTATTCATCAAACTCCTCTTTCTCCTTTGCACTAGGTTCCCTCAAGCCACTGTTGCCATTCACGAGGATTATAGCACCTGTGTTTCCAAATATGAAATGTCAACAAACATAAGGTGGAAAACAATCTGATTAAAATACAGATCTCTTCATAGCGCAAAGCGCTTTGCATTATGAAGAGATCTGTATTTTAATCAGATTGGGTGGAAAAAAACCTCTTCTTACGGACTTAAGACACATTGAACCAAATTCTTGTTCTGTTTACTGGCATTTCTACATAGATAATCTGCTTTATTATCAGTAGCAAATCATGGGATTTCTCCTTGAAGAATTACCTTTTTCAAGCAGAAGAGTGACTTCCTCTTTAGAGAGCTGAAGTGGAAGGCCAAGATGATTGTTTTGTCGTGGTAATCTTGGCAAGCATCCAATGAGACATCCCACAATCCTCCACTCCTCTCTCAGTTCCACAGCATCTACAATATATAATATGAATATCAATGTAGTACATGTAGATACAGTTTTCTTGTACTGTATTTCCTCATTTTTCATTTCTGGTACAATTTGTCAAAGAACTACGCACGCTAACTCTCGATTCCCGCCTACATTTTAAACCCATTTAATTTAATACTAATGACAATTTGACAGTAAAATCTTCCTTGAATGCAAAGAACAGTTCAATGGTAATTGACTGATAATTTTACTGCCAGTGTTAAATAGTTAATTACCCATAATTCCAGCTCTTTAAATAAGGGGGGTAGACGATATTTTTCATTGAAATCGGGCTTTAAAGCATCAGCACATTTTAAAATATTCTTGGATATGAATAAATGTTCCTTAAATCTTTTCTTATGTTTTACGCATATAAAATTAAACATATATTATTAATAAAATACAATGTTTTAGTTGTAAAACCCTCTGCAACTGGTGAAAAAATAAGCATTTTTGTAGTTTTTTGTCTGTAAACATATGTTCCCCCCCGTGAAACACAAAAAGCTTTGGTATGAATTTGTGAAATGACAGTCCATATTACCTGTAAAAAGGAATTTTTGTTTCATGGGGGAGAAAGATGTTTTTAGGAGTGAAACGGTTCACCGCGGTATTTTTTCTCGGTTTGCTACACGGTGCAAAATCTCTAATTTTCGGTTCGGTTCATTTTTCGGTCGGGATCGTTATTCAGTCGGGTTTGGCATAAGGTAAAACACGTTACTCAGTATAAATAAGTATAGAAAACGTAAATTTTTTATGACTGATAGCTTTTAAAATAATTTTTGACAGTCAAATAATTTTAATCAATTTCTTTTAGTCAATTTGCAAATAAAATTCGTAAAATATGTGACTAGATTTAGAAAAACAAAGCATAAAACAACGTTGAATTTGTTTCCTTCTATCAAAATGTATCGTATCGAAAATAACTGAACCGAGACAAAATTATACAATACGTATCAAACTGTGAAGGAGGTGTATCGTTTCACCCCTAGATGTTTTAAAAATATTTTCCGTTTTCCGTTGATTTCTATAGTGAAAAACACAATTTTTACCCAAATTATAGAGTTATCTCTCTTTGTTTTCCTAAACAAATAATGTTTTATGAAAATTCATATAAATATCTATATAAATATGAAAAATCATTCAAATGTGTTAACTTTTGAAAATTGACTTGGAGGTAGGCGGGAGAACAATGCTATCGTTCGCAGTTCTTAAGCTTTTATTGATTTTCTACTCTAATGTTGTTCTCCAGAGATTTTTTTTTAATCCAGTTTATGGTAGCCATGAAAATCCTTAACACCCTTGTTACATTGTTAAAAATTTTTGATGCACTGAGTTTAAAATCAAAATAGATATAAATGGTAACTGCTTTTAAGATTACTGACAGATATAATCATTTTCAAAGAACTATATTCGGTAATGACCAATATTTGCCCCCAAAATCAAACTTTGACGGAGAAATATATAGTTATGTTCTAAAACAGGGGAATATCTGCAGACTTCAAAGCACTGAATATTTTCATAAGCCATGACGCCATATGTTAGATATGATGTCAGAAAGATGATGTAAATTCAAAATTTTAATGATTTATACAGAAAAAGTGTATATTATGTCGATAATTTGAGTAAAAGTCACCGAACGCAGGTCTGCTCCAACTCAATATTTTGATATAATGTGTAGAATGATAATATCATTGAAATATGTAAATATTGTTCTTGAGCAGGTCTGCGCTCTATAAATTTTATAGTAAAAATTGACCAAATTTTGTCCATTTCGTCCTTTTTCTGAAAAATAACACAAAATCCGAATAGTTTGTGACGTCATAGAAGCAAAAGTTGCCAATAATCTACTTCGAAACTATAATATTTTTGTTAATTTAGATTTCTCACACAATATATACAACTAGAGCGAGCTCGTTGCAAAGCAACGAATAGGTCTTCCGTTGGAGCTGCGGAAGGAAGAAGTGACCTTGAGTCAAGGTCATGCCACATTCTAAAGTTATACATGTAAGCAACCTTGTAAGGGGAAGCAACTTACAATATTTCGCTAGGAAAAACTGTAAAGGAATGTACGTGACCTTGAACATTCCAAATGCCTTGCGGCAAACCATGACACACTCTCGTCATAAAACCCAATCTGTGTGTTACCGACTTGAAAAGTTCACAGTGACACGTCATGTTCTTTTAGTCCATACATACAACTTGAGTCGAGGCCATGTCACACTCTGCATGATACCAGCAATGTTTCACTAGTACAAATACGGTAGCGAAATTACAGTTTCTCTGTCAGTGACCTTGACTCGACCAAATGACCTTGCATCAAGGCCATAACACACACTGGTTAAAAGCAATCCCAGTCTGTGAGTTTCTGAATGGATAAGTTCAGCCATGTTTTTTTCAGATCATACAGCGAGTCGGAATAATTTGTTAGGTTCAACAAAATGATTAAAAAATTCATTGAGAATGTTTTATGCCCAGTTTGGATAAGTAGTAAAACGTGGAGATCGGTCCCTTGGATGAGACCGTATAAGGTCTCGTGTCGGGGTAAGTGCTAGCATGAAAAGGATCTCTCATGCTATAAATTTTGAATTTACCGGGTGGCAGTAAATGCTGACAACCGGTAAGTTCAAAATTTACAACATGACAGATCCATGGCACTTGATTCTACCTCTGATTTCAAAAGATTTGCACTGTTCCTGATTTGTATTGTTTGAATGGTCTTTTAAGCTTGAATGCTGCACAGGTGCTTGTGGACAGGACCCCCCCCCCCCCAATATACACCCCGGGGTCCAAGAATATTTTTATTCGTCTTTTTCCATAAATTAATCTTCTAGTACACATTTACAATGTATTCCATATGAAAAATCCATAAAAATAACGTAGAATTAACGTTTTATTAAAAAATCATACCCGCGGTATTATGAAATAGAGAAGGTAAGTCACTTCCATTTGTTAACACTGGACCCCTCTTGGATATCGGGCCTAAAATATCACATACATTTACCTACCACATGTCACCAAAATATGTTATTATATCTTGTTTCGGTAGATATTTTTGTCTTTAATCGTGCTATTTAAACGGAAGACCTTAAATATTGTCTGTGGCTGTCACTATTTCGGTGTTTTTCAGAGACTTGATCGTAGAATTAGTCAAAGTCCACAACTGGACAATAAACTGATAAATCGGCTACAGTATATTATCTGTTCACAGAAACGACATATTGAAACTGGAAAAAAATAATCCAGAAGCAATTCATTTCATTGAAATTCTATCATGAATATTTTGTTTTAATCGATGGACTCGATAAATCAATAAACTGACCGAAGGAAAAACGTTGCACGTACCGTAACATTCTGTACGTTTTTTTTTTTTAAATTTTACATTCTACTTACGTACATAAATATTAAACAGAAACATAAATACCAAGCCCGTCGGCATTTAAAAAAAGTAATAAAACATAGTTTGATTTGATCTATTTTATTTCATTTAAACTCTATTAATTTGTTTTAAAAGTATGATTGATCTTTTTCCTTTTAATATACACTCAGGGTAAAAAAAAAAGTATATATTGACTCGCGTAACTTTCATGGTTGTAGTTACATTTGAAAATGAAGAAATAATGAAATAATGAAACGTTGAAGGGACTGGTGTGTTGTATGGCTAGAAAACGCCTTGCACATGCAGAGAAATTTACCACTGGTATACTCTAGGACAGGTGTGAAACCCCTAGGGCATGCCGTTTCCTGCTCTTGCTCTGCTAATCCCTATACACAGGAAATGATCGCGACTAATACTTAATACACAAGGAAACAGAATATATTCAAGTAAACTTGGCATTGATTTTTTTTTTTTTTGAGTATTATTGAGAATAATAAGTTTTAGTGATATACCCCCCCCCCCTGTTTTAATTGTTTTGTGAAGTTCATCACCATGCACATTCCATCTTCTGTAATTGGAGAAATGTTTAAATTAAAAACAAACCACTGTTTACAAAAGAAGTAAATATCGAGGGGAAAAAAATTGTTATATTTTATTGATATCTTTTATAACGTTCACGCGCCCACTCACTGCAAACGCTCACCATCGAATATTACAGCTTTCCGGTCATTAGATTCAATTTCAGGGAAATGCTTGCACATTAATACAGTAAAGTGAAATTATTTAAATGAATTATATTGTTCTAAATTTGGTAAAAAAAAAAAAAAAACAAACAAAAAAAAACAAAAACATGAACAGTATATAGATATATTTTTTTCCTCATAGGAATGCTGAAAACTGTTAATCGGAACTCGCACTGACTATTGTTTAGCACGTGTATGTAACATTGCAGTTCGCATATAATTTGAAAAGAGAAGTAATTAGAACTTATATTTCCGACATTAAAATTTGTCACGTTAAACTCTCAAATGACTCAGCTTATAAATAGTTTTCTTGATACTATTTAAAAAAAGATGTCGCTTTAGTGTTGATTTATAACTTAACAAAATTAATAAATAATAAATTAAAAAAAAAAAAAAACGATTAAATATATTCTGCTTTGCAATTATTTTTTTTTGTTCATTCATTATTTTCACCTTTTGCGAAATAAAAGAAAATACTTTCATAAATATACATACACTGCGGGATTTTGATTTGTTTTTTTTAAAGAGGGAATTTCGCAAAATTCCTGTTCGGGGAGATAACTCCCGTTTGTTTACGATACTAGTTGATCGATGATTTAACCGCGGCGGGGACAGGTAGGTGATGAATTTCCCGCGGAGGGAACGCGGTTTACCTGTCTCACCTGGCCTCATCCCGCGTTGTGTTTATACCGCGACGGGGCGCGGGAAATACGGGATCCGCGTTGCCTGTACTGTACATGTATAGTCAATCAGATTAGAAATACAGCGACTATCAGAATTTCGGGCCGTAAAAAAGATCTGATTTTGATTAGATTTCAGGTGTAGGCGAATGTGTGTGTACTGAGGGGTTAGTTAATTAATTCAA